CATGTGCTTGCAGAAGTTACCATCATACATCCACTAAAGTAGTAATATCAGTATAAATACCAGAACTACATGTGTTAAGATTACTCTTATCTGAATATTTATTCTCAAATATAGGTAGATATTCTTGTACAGAGAATATTTCCCTATGTGCTTCATATGGTTAAATTCTTTCACTAAGCTGAAATACAACTATCTAGTGTTGTGGTATTAAAATGCTAATAATCTAGCTAATGATGGCAAGATGACATATATATGTAAGAAAATGTACAGAATAAGAGATTTGATGATCTAGTCTCTTTATAACCCACAACATAAAATAAATGGTATACACTTAGATTTTTTAACTTCTTTTCATTCAGGCCATTATCTCCCCCCAAAAAGTCTCCTTAGGGAATACACCTTCATTATTGCTTGGTGCCATTGAGCTGGTTTGGACTCATAGTGAACCTGTGCATAACAGAGGAAGCACTAAAGGCATTAGAACCCTCCACTCAAAACTGTTCGCTCATTTGAGCATCTTGTAGCAGCCACTACGTCAATCCATCTCATTGAGGGTCTTCCTCTTGTCCACTGAGCCTCTTGTTTACTGAGCTCGTTGCCCTTCTCTAGGGACTAGCCCTTGCTAGTAAGCACATGAGATGAAGTCTCACCATCCTCATTTCTTAAGAGCATGCTGGCTACACTTCTTTTGAGATGGATGTTTGTTCTGTTGGCAGTCCACATCTTGTGAGGATGAATTCACATTGGAAAGCCTTTTTTGCTACCACAGAATTGTACGATGAGGAAAATTCTTGAAAAGAATACTGCATAACATCTATGATTACTCAATCATTTTCATTCCAGACATAATGAAAAGAAAAATGTGTTAGGTAATGAGAAAAAAAAAGTTTGTTCCTATTTATCTCTTTCTGTTAAAAGTGGACATCTATTTTGTATCCTAATGTCAAAGGCTCTATCAATGATCGTAGGATCATCTAAATGTTGACAATACTAAGAAAGTATTACTTCTGTAACATAATGCCAATTTTAAATATTATGTTAATAAGATTATTAACAGTAAAGAGACTGTGACAATAACTGCATTTTTGTGATAAAAATTCTCATTTATTCTTATATGCTAAAGTTCATTCTATCATGGCCGAAACAGAAAATTAATTCTAATACTTGACCATGTGGAACTAGACCAAATGTGCATTTTGTACACTGCTACTAAAAATCAAGCTCTCGGCTTGCCCACTAAGTAATAGCATTATTAAAATAATCATCTAGGAGGATTATGACTAAAAGCTAACCTCTTTAAATTGAGCAAATTTAATGGACTGAATTAGCAGGAGACACAGCATAGCTCTATCCCTTAGTAAAACTGTTTGCTTAAAATGTCATTTGTAGCAGAACTTCATGAATGGATCCTGTGCGAACAAACTGATAAGAAACCTCTGTTGGGAAATCTAAAAATCAATATATATATTTTTTACCATTTTTTAATTAAAAGCTCATTTTATTGGGCTCTGAAATTAATCATTTTAAAACAAGGACAATAATAGTAAATAATGAATTTAGATCTTGTTAACATGTTTTAAAAGTTTAACAGTCAGATGCACAATAAGTCATAGTGCACTTTGTATTAAAGAGACTAAACATAACGTGCCTTAAAAGATGTGTCTTTGAAAGCACAATTACCATGCCTCTATCAGCATGAAATAGAATATTAGAAAGTTCATAGCACTAATAGAAATTACTATCATTAATAAAAAGTGTTATAAGTTCCAGCTGTATTCCACTCTGTTGTACAGCGAGCTGCTATGAGTTGGAACTGATGCAATGGCACCCAGCAACAGCAACAAGAGCCTAACAAACCGCAAGATAAAAAAGATAAGCTTTATATGGTGAAACGTCTAAAAGGCGGAACTCGACAGGACTACTTGTTTTTTCCCCAGTCTTCCAGGTTCTCTAACTTTAACATACAAATGTTATCATATATAACATATAGTGGAAAATAGCTGCAATTCCCTTCTCTGACAAACTTTTGAAATTTTTACTGGACTTTGATTGTCCCCCCCGCCTCCCTGAGTTGGGCAATAACGTTTCAGAAAAATAAAAGAATTATTTATTAGTTAAACCTATCATAAGTTAACTTTAAAAACAATTTTTCACTCATATAAATCATTTTTGTTCTAGAGAATAATAAACATTTTAACATCTAGGAAATGTTATTTCTCTTCTATCGTAGAAAACATAAAAGCACTAATAGGATATGCATGTTACTCAGGTCAAAGTATTTTCAGTTATTAGTTAGAATTATTCCTTATCAGTTTCTGGTTTTCATTTTTTAAGTATGAAAAGACAAACAAACAATGCCACTGGACTGATTTCACTTGCAAAATGAGTAAAATAATAGCAATGTGAAATTACTGTTATTTCCTGGATTGTAAGTATGAAAGCTCCAGCTAAAATTAATTACATATTAAATGATTTTTAAGTTAGAGAAAATATAGTACAAGCATACGTGAAACAATGGAATTTCAGTTTTATGCTTCCTACTTACATTTAACTGTTATATTTAATTAACATACCCCAAAATTTGGGTTTCCTGAAAAGCACCGAATGCCACCCTTCACGCAAAATTCAGCTATCATTAAGTCTACAGAGCAAATGAATGAGAGGATTATCATTATCAAGAAAGTACGTGAGAGAGATTTTAAGGACGGTTTAAAATAACATTAGTATTTCGGTAACAGAGGTGTTAAAATAATAAAGAAAAGTCAATCCATTTATTTGTAAACATCAGATATAGCTTACATATGTATGTATGATCCATATACTCACATAAACGATAAAGAGCTGATGAAAAAATCACAGACTGTGTATGTTACAAAGTGCTAGAAGGAAACTAACTTATCTTTCCTGATGACATTTGTTGCCTATACCTATCTTTCAACTGTGCAGCGTTTTCAACATTTATAACTACATGATCTAGATCTACAATAACAATTTTTGTTTTTCATCTCTTGGAAAGATATATTAACAATCTACACCTTCAATTACTGAATTTCAAAGAGGCAATACTGGTTAATCATAGTTACTTTTGTAACGCGGTAATGGTGGCCACAAATACACTAGTAAATGGGGTTTATAGTGGCCTTTAGAGCTTTGCTTCATTTAGTCACCATTTAGATGACTTGTTTGCTTCTATTAAAACTTGCAATTAACTCTCAAATATGCAGATTCATCAAGTTTGTAACATTTTAATTGTAGGTTAAAATTACTCATACTATTAGCATGTTTTTAATGCTTTCTGCTGTTGCTGATCCATGTAAATAGGGAGTATCAACAGAGTAATATGAGTTTATAATGTTTCTAACTTCCTTAACAATGAAAATGCATTACACTGACACATTTTTCTATTAAGTATTGATTCTGTCCATAAAAAATGTTTCGAAAATGCTATATATTCAGAAAAGTGAATCAATAAACACTTTCCAATTCCTACGATATATTAAATACATATTATGCTTGTGCTCTGTCTACAACAGCACGTGCTACTGCAATGCAGCTTGAAAATAGCTGGATAACTGACCAAAATCTTCTGTCTTTCCTGCCACGTTCTGGTCATGGGAAATCAGAGCTCAGTGAAAAAAACAGATCCGAGATATATGA